GCGGACTACAAGGAAACGCCAACAGCCGCACATGCACTTTCACCCACCACGTTTACATACATCCCCACCCCAACCGAAGTCAAGACCCGCACTGAAACTCGACAATGTCAGATTGCTCAAGAACTTTGTTTCGTTCACCCTAACAACTGCGATGAACAATGTCGTAGCAAGAACGTTGCGACGGACTGCGTTGCAGTAGTCTCAAAAATCGTACATGATACACCAGTAGTACCGCACAAGGCGGTGGCGGAAGTTTCAAAAATAGGAAACCTATAGGAGAGATTGGTTGTTGTGAATCAGAGATGGCAGAGCGAAGCGACTGCTGGACTGAAAGGCGATTGATCTCTCTCACTCTTGTCTACCTGTCTATCTATCTATCATATCTATCTATCTATCTATCTATCCATCTATCCATCTATCCATCTATCCATCTATCCATCTATCCATCTATCCATCTATCCATCTATCCATCTATCCATCTATCCATCTATCCATCTATCCATCTATCCATCTATCCATCTATCCATCTATTTCTCCCTCTATCTATCCATCTATTTCTCCCTCTATCTATCTATCTATCTATCGATCTATCGATCTATCGATCTATCGATCTATCGATCTATCGATCTATCGATCTATCGATCTATCGATCTATCGATCTATCGATCTATCGATCTATCGATCTATCGATCTATCTATCTATCTATCTATCCTATCTATCCTATCTATCCTATCTATCCTATCTATCCTATCTATCCTATCTATCCTATCTATCATATCTATCATATCTATCATATCTATCATATCTATCATATCTATCATATCTATCATATCTATCTTATCTATCTATCTATCTATCTGTCTATCTATCTGTCTATCTCTCTAGCTATCTCTCTATCTATCTATCTATCTATCTATCTATCTATCGATCTATCGATCTATCGATCTATCGATCTATCGATCTATCGATCTATCGATCTAGCGCTCTATCCCTCTATCCCTCTATCCCTCTATCCCTCTATCCCTCTATCCCTCTATCCCTCTATCTATCTATCTATCAATCATATCTATCATATCTATCTAATCTATCTATCTATCTATCTATCTATCTGTCTAGCTGTCTACCTGTCTATCTTTTGTGCAGTGTCATTCAGTGTAATGTAGTGTAGTGTAATGTAGTGTAATGTAGTGTAATGTAGTGGAGTGTAGTTGTAGTTGTAGGTGGTAGTGGAGTGTAGTGTAGAGTAGTGTCGTGAAGTGTAGCGGCAGGTAGTGTAGTGTAGTGTAATGTAGTGTAGTGTAGTGGAGGCTAGTGTAGTGTAATGTAGTGTAGTGTAAGGTAGTGTAGTGTAGTGGAGTGTAGTTGTGTAGTTTTAGTTGTAGTGTTGTGGAGTGTAGTGTAGTGTAAGGTAGTGTAGTGTAGTTTAATGTTGTGTAGTGGGGTGTAGTGGAGTGTAGTTGGGTAGGTGTAGTTGTATTTGTAGTGTAGTGGAGTGTAGTGTAGTGTAATGTAGTGAAGTGTAGTGTAGAGAGTGTAGTGCAGTGTAATTTAGTGTAGTGGACTGTAGTGGACTGTAGTGGACTGTAGTTGTGTAGTTGTAGTTGTAACCTGTAGTGTTGTGAAGTGTAGTGTAATGTAATGTAGTGTAATGTAGTGTAGTGCAGCAAAGTGTAGTGTCATGTAGTGTAATTGAGTTAAGCGAAGCAACATCTGAACCGCCAAAAGTGGTCCGAAACCCTAGTGTTTTTAACATGTTAACTTCCAAATCTGCTTCGCGCCACAACGGCGTGCACTTTTTCGAAACTCGACATCTCAGCCTCCAAAAGTGGTCCGAACATGGTGTGGTTTGTACATTTTGACTTCGTTCGCGCCACAGCGGCGTGCACTTTTTCGAAACTCGACCTCTGAGCCTCCAAAAGTGGTTCGAACCCCTGGTGTTTTGCACATTTTGACTTCGAAATGTGCTTCGTGCCACAACGGCGTGCACTTTTTCGAAACTCGACCTCTGAGCCGCCAAAAGTGGTCCGAACCCCTAGTGTTTTTAACATTTTGACTTGGAAATGTGCTTCGCGCCACAACGGCGTGCACTTTTTCGACATCTTAAGTGCCAAAAGTGGTCCGCACTTGGTGTGTTTTCTACATTTTGACTTGGACATGTGCTTCGCGCCACAACGGTGTGCACTTTTTCGACATCGCAACTTCCAAAAGTGGTCAGACCCTGGTGTGTTTTGTACATTTTGACTTGGGGATGTGCTTCGCGCCACAACGGCGTGCACTTTTTCGACATCTGAAGCGCCAAAAGTGGTCCGATCCTCTGGTGTTTTGTGCATTTTGACTTGGAAATGTGCTTCGCGCCACAACGGCGTGCAATTTTTCATGTCTCATCTCCCCATATGTCTCCGCACCCGCCGCTTTAGCGAGCCTACTTTTCGACCCTCCGGAACCACAAATCATTGGAAAAACGCAGTGAATCGCGACTTTCCTACCTTTTCGCGCATCTGCATCTTCTTTCTTCTGACTCTTTCTCTTCTGAACTTTCTCTTCTCTCTGCCTCTGCCCTGCTCTGCTTTTCATCTGTCCATATTGTCGGAAGTTTAGCTTCTCAACTTCCTTCGACAATATAGTTAAAGATATGTATCTATATATATATATATATACACATAATAATTCCATGATATATATCCATATATACTAAATAATCTCAATATACATATAGATTCGTATATATATATATGCATACTCTACCCAGCAATTGTGGGATATTGCGCTTTGGCTAGTGGTTGCCGAAGCATAATCGCTGCCCCTTGCTCAGCATATCTAGATCATTTGGTGGATTTTCCGCAAGGGTTCCTCGAAGATATTCTCTTCAACCAAAAGACTTCGCTAATGACATTTCAATATGTTTCATATATATGTATATTCGTATATATATAGTTATCATGTATAATAACTAGAACACCTATAATGACTAGAATTACTATAATAACTAGAACATAATTATCACAACTATATTGAACCCCCCCCTTCGATTCCCCCAAGGTCCGCCTCTAAAGCCGCGTTTGCAAGAAGTCACCCCGCGGGCCCACTTTTTGCACCAAGATTCCAGCACCAGGATAGCCCTAAGTCAGTTGCTTTGGGTACATGCTGGGGTCAAAACACCACGTTTGTGAATCCCACACTGTTCTACACATGTACACACCAGAATCAACCCCATCCGCGTTGCAACAATGTGCTGCCCCCAGTTACACGTTGCCTCGCAAACCCCATAACCTGATATTTATACATATATCTAACTATATGTATGTATTTATATATATATATATGTCTGTGTGTCTGCGTGTGTGTCGTGTCCCCCCTCCCTGAAACCTACCTTTTTGGTACCCGCCCTCGAGTCCAAGCCCAGAAGACTTTTTTCGATATCCGCCCCAACTCCACCCACGTCCGTCCGCAGCGGATATGCCTCGTTCCCTTGCTCTCTTCTCCTGTTCCAACCCACGCCTACCTTTCGATCTTTCGCCCTTCCCTCTCAAGTTTCTGACCTCATGGCTGACCAATGGCGGGGTAATCCAATTCCAACTCGATTTCCTTGACACTATCGGTGACAAAGGCTGCTTAACAAGCACAGGAAACAAAGGAAGGAGAATCCCAAATTTGTGTGCCCGTTGCAGTCATCATAACCTATTCGCTCTTGTTGGTTGACAGGTCAGTCATTGGCCCCACCTTGTTGGACTTAAATTCCAGGTCAACCCATGGGATTGGCCTACAGAACCCATTTCTGATAAAGGGATGGTTTATGATGGTTTGTTGTTGGGTTGGCCACATGAACTCCTGATCGTTTCGTGTGTTGCCGTAGCGCAGGTCATGATCAGGTGATCCGCTTTCACACGCTCAAGGGCTTGCCGGTGCATCGGGAATCTTGCGCCTTGGCGAATCGAGTCCTCGGGAAATCTGCAGGGTTTTGTCCCATGGGTTTTGACTGGGAAAAATCACAGTTGCAGTTGGTGTTTTTGTTGCTCCAACCTTGTGGTTGCAACAAATATTGGGATCATGTTACATGTTTGTTTGCCAGCATTTTGTCGAAATGGGTTTGTCTGAAAATACCACATTTCCTACGATTAATGGTAAATTTCCCCATTGACATTGCCAATTGAAGGTGTCTTTCTGCGAGAGCGGCCGCAATGTTCCAGTGACATCTTGCGTAAGACGCCCTCCATCTTCAGAGACCTGATTCGATTCTTGGTTGGGCAGAGGGGTGCAGACAGGTGATTTATCCAGTTGTGTTGGCTGCAACTTTTTCAGATAGCCCAGAATCAGGCTCAGACCATGGTGCACACGCACACACACTTGAAACCTATAGGACCTATAGGGCCTAAGAAAACCGAAGAAAATAACATGTGTTTCATGTTGATGCCGACCTACCAGATCCGATCCCGCGTTGCCATGTTGCCATGTTGCCATGTCGCATCCCAGGATATCGCGGTCAAACGTCGCCCCTGATGGAGCTGGAACAGCAGCATTTGGCGCTGGTGTTGATCGCCCGGAGCTGAGCCTGTTGATCAACCAATGGATTTACAGTGCTACCATTGGACCATGGGCTAGGCTAGCCTATTTTCAGACAAACATAGACAAACCCACTGCAAACCCATTTATTGTCTTTGAATATGAAGAAATGTAGAAAATACCATTGATATTGTTTGGATTGGACTTTGTAGATTTGCAGCTAAGGTGCATGTTCTGTTCCCCTTGATAGGAGACACATTGAAGCACAATTGTGTATCACTTTCAATACAAAACTTGGCTTCTTTTCGGTTTGCTGTGTTTGGGCTCACAATAAGTTCAGCAAGAACTGACACAAGCTGGCACTCGAATAGCTCCATTTTTGCTCCGTGTTTCAACTTGTTCCTAAATGTCGGCACAAACTTCGTCAATGCGAAGTCGGGAAGTCGGGAAGTCTCACATGTCACTCCAGAACTACCGTTGGGAGCTTGGTAGAAACAGAATGCCATGGCTGGTCCATGTCCAGAATTCCTGGGCGAAGAGTACTCCATCGCCGGATGCGGACAACATTTTTGAGATCTCCAACTCCATAGCTGCCTGTCAATTCCGATTTGTAGGGTTTTGTTCGTGTTGTTATGCTACCTTGAGGTGTTGGAAAACAATGCATGATTTTTTGTATGAACTACTTGCTCTTGATTCAGGCTCGCGGCCACCTTTTTACTGAATGCAAATCTGCGGATATTTTGTGTTTGTGTGTGCGTGCTTTCTTTAACAATAAGCCACTCCTGAACTTTGGCATAGGGTTAAGTTAATTATATTATATACATTGGCGATGAACGCGTCAGGGAAGGGGCGAACCTCACTAATTATAAATATCCATAAATGATGTTTTGTATAGGGAAGCCATTCAGAAGGCCCTGAATGTAGTAGGTTTGCCAATTCTTGAAGGATCATGTTGAACATGTCCGAAAAGATTGAAAAATACGTCAGCCTCTAAGTGATATAAACAATTCATAAGTTTCATAAGTCTTCCATGCTTTCTCTTGGGGAGGGAAGCCTCTACTGTAACGAAATGTGACCCAGGGCATGGAGCTGAGGTTGCAGTGGATCCTGACCATGGCATCAACGGGTGGTATCCTATCGACAGCTCAGCGTGGCTCTTCGTCGAAGCAGCCCAGAAGGTGGGGGAGATTTCAGAGCCTTGGAGCAGGGACTGGTTGGGTAGGTGACTCGTTCTGTAGAAAAACACACACACACATATATATCTATATATAATACACACAGATATTTATATATTTATATACATATAATATATATATAGTGAATTTAGGGTACAGTAGATTCACTATTGATTACATTGGTTTGTGTAAATTATGACATGACATCACGTTTCAAAGCTATCGTTTCCTTGGGGACAGTCTAAGGTTGGGATGCTTACAGCCAGAATCCAATGGAATTGGAGAATCACAGCTGTGACCAACACAGCTGTTTGATTCTGTTTCGGTACTGACAATCGTGGACCTAGATCCTATAGGCCTATATATTATATATATAGGTATATATGCATATATATGCAACTATAGCTGACTAGAACTGATCCAGATCTCAGATCCCCTTCCAAAGCTATGGTGGATCCAGTGGATCCAGTGGACACGCCTCAAGGACGATCACTTCGAGCTTGATGGTGGAGTTCTGCCACAGCTGGAGGTTAGTGTCCCAAAGCTGGCACCGTTGGATCTCACTTTGGGAGATCCTGAAGAGCCGTTGCGGAGCCTGTGACTTTGATCGCAACTTAAAGGGTTGGCTCCAGGCATTAAAGTGCTGCTCCATACTGCTCCATTGAGGTCAAGCAAAATCACTGATGAAGCGCTGTTGAAGTTACACCGCGATGGCTTTGTGATCGTAGACCAGGCCTTGTCTCCTGCACTTTGCGAGACTTTGCGCCATGAAATGGACATCTTGTTGGAGAATGGCCAGATGTGGGATAGTCAATCCTACTCACATGAAGAGGGAGCCCTGCATCATGATATTTGTGTGGCTTGGTCTTGCTTGGACGTTTTGGGCGTTGTCCAGGGATAGGAAAGATGTTGAGTTTTGTTTCTGCAGGAGGCCAGGTTGCTCATTTGAAGCCAATTGACCTTCCGTATGATTATAGACATGTTGTGGCTGACATTCGCCCTTGTCTTTTTGGAGCCTTAACATCCTTGTGCGTTTTGTCAAGGATAGTTGCTCAATCAGGCAGAATTAATGATATTTCCTAGCTCGCAGGGTTCCTATAAGCATCACGGTTTGTTTTAAATAGTGGTTGACCCACTTAAGTTCTGCTGCTTTCAAGTTCTGGGAAAGCCGCCATTTTCATGTTTATTTTCATTGCTTGAATCCCTGTTTTTGGACAGGAAGATTGCCATTTTTGGCGGGTGAAATCTGTTCCAGCCAACATTCAGGAAACCACCCTGGACTTCAAAGATGTTCGTTTCTATGCGCCCACCTTCACTCGCATGGGCACGGACGAAGGTTTGCTGCGGGTCTTGCGCAGGCTGCCAGTGCTGCGGGACCTCTCTATGCAGCACTTGAGAATCTTGGTGTCACCGTTGGCCATCAAAGATGTGTCAGTTTAACTCCGAAAGCGTTGGTGTTGGGGCAGACCATGGTGCACCAATTTTCAGTTCAACTCCGATTCCAAAATGTTCAATGCCCCCATTCGGTTGATGATTATAGGGAGTTACACCACCCAATATATTTGGGATTGTCATCACAGGATCATTGGTTCGATAAATGAGGAACCCCCATTGACCGCCACTGACCAACCATTATCGGCGGCTCTTGGTCCAAGGACTGCAGATCAACAAGGGCAATGGTGGCTGCTACACGATGCACACGGACTCCGGCGTTTCTGGTGAGGAAGATGGAAGCCTCGCACCAAGGGGCATGGAAAGGATCATGTGTCATAGAGGGATCAAATCTGTATGTCGTTATATAGAATATAGGACCGTTAGGAAAGTCCGTGGCAGGCAGTTGATTGTGTGGAATGTGGATGAATAGGGTGGCTTATTGTTATTTAATGATATTGCTCACAATTTGTTGTATATGTTTGTAGAATTCTCCGCTGATTGGGATGGTCCAGCACTGACCCTGATGTCTCCCGACATCGTGATGCATATGTTTCGTGGAGCTGTGGTTCGCATCGGCCACACGCTCGCGCTCGCGCTCCCAGGACGGCAAGTCTTGCGTGTGACGGCTCTATTCTATTTGAATGAAGGATGGACCTCAGAACACGGAGGAGAACTGCGAGTGTATCCATATCCATCAGCACCAGTGAAGATCGCTCCTCTTCTCGGGCGACTGGTTTTGTTTCATCCGCGCCTGGCAACTTGACCAGTTCAGTGAGTTGGACAACTACTGACATCATCAGCCGAACATTCCAAGAGGTTATCAGAACTACCAGTAGGGTGGTTGTCGTGGCTGGGGTTATCGTTATGGTCTTTCTGTGTTTGTTGACGTTTGTTGTTTGCTTCTTAATTAATTGTTTTGTTTCTGGTTTCCTTTTTCAATAGTGTTGTCCTTGTGGTTGTTGTCGCAGTGATGGTGGTTGAATCCTATCATCTCAGTCCTGACCAGCGCTGAGGTACACGAAGTGTTGCCCAACTTCCGCAAGCGATATTGCTTCACCCTATGGTGTGCAGTGCCTTAATGGAGCAATTTGGAGTTATATATATATATATATTTAGCTAAATCCAAGAATGGTGAGAACAAGGTTTTGACTTGTACCCTACCGTTCTGGTACGAGAAGGGGTGCGCACGGGGCGTGCGGGGTGTGCGTGCGGGGTGTGCGTACGGTGCGCGCGTTGTGTGCGTACGGTGCGCGCGGTGTGCGCGTACGGTGCGCGTGGTTTGCGCGTGCGGTGCGCGCAGGAGTCGTGTACAGTACGCATGGGGTGTTCATACGGTGTGTGCGTATGTCTGAGCACGTGTACGGTGCGAGGGGCACATGTGCTGTATAGTTGCGGCGTGTAACCGTAGGGTTTAAGGTGTATTGAGAGGTACCTTTTCTGTTCGAAAACCCGGCAGTACTGTTTTGATTGCTTGCTGCAAGCTGAGGGAAACAAGATAAATAGTTCCAGGTATAGACAATTAGTGGGCAGGTGCGTGGTCTTGCAGGAAGCCAGCGAGTTATTCATCCGTGCCAACTCCCTGCTGCGTTGCGGAGAAATAAGACGAAGGAAGAAAACAAATGATTTTCTTGACCACCAGGTTTTCAGAACGCCTAGCATGTTGAGTTAAAAGTATTACACGCATTGCGTTCCACATCACTTTTTTTCAAGCGCATCCTTGGTCTTTGCTTGCTCCAGTAACCCGGAACTCTACTTTTGTGCCAACACCTAGAATGCATGCGTTGAGTTTCATTTTCGATCATTTTGAACGAAGCGAGGGAAGCTAGCCGCCCAGAAAATAATGCAAGGGACACGGGATGGTCTTGCAAGAAGATTCAGGCGTGAGGTGCCCTGCCAGAAATTGTTTACGGATATTGTAATTTTCTAATATCAAAGTTCTAGGTTTGATGAACTGCGTAACATATCCGCAAGGCATTTACAAGTAAGGCAAGCTGCTTACGAGTCCGTAAAGTGCTGTATAACTGAGTTGTAACTTCAGATAGAACCGCAAAGGAAGTTGCAAGTATCTGCATATAGCATGAAAATATTTGAAGCACTCGCGCTACGTATCTTATCTTTAAGTCATGTCTTTAAAGGGCTGAACATGCTGAAACTTGTTCACGCTTCATGGCACAAGAAAAGTTGGGTCGAGAAATTCCCGAAAGGATACCGTTGAAATAAGAGAAACCGAAAGGATTGAACATGGCGAAACGAAGGAAGAAAAACATGTTTGCAGCCTTTTTGAGAGCAACAATGACTTTTCAGGAAGTGCGTTCAAAGTTGCGGCTGGCGCGCCGTTGGTTGGATTGACGCGCTACGCTTTGAAATAGAAAGGAAAAAACCGGAAGAGTCTTAAACTTAACACGAATTCCAGAAGTTTTCCGATACTTCCCCTTTGTATTGCAAAATATGGTCTTCAGAAGTTGAGATTTCTTTGTATTCCCAAAGATTTATTGATTGATTGACATGTACACCATCATGCACAACGAGAAGATGGGAAAAATCCAGCAAGTTCAAAACAATCACCTTCCTGAATTTTTTTTGGTTTTCAGAAATGACCGAACAGTTTCTGATTCTTCTGAATGTTTTTTCCAATACCAAAAATATCACAAACTTGAAATTTGAAAAAAAACAGACACTCAGTTTTCTGGATTCGTTTTTTTTTCCTGATCTTTGTCCCTTTTTCGTTCTTTTCAACATGGAGAGAAATAATAGAGAAGTTGAGCCAAAACGAACAAGGTCATAGAAATTTAGCTTTCTGAGCTCTCTGCTTCTCTTTGTGAACTTTTCCTGCTTTATTTTGCTTTACAATCAGAGATAGCGTAAAGCTGTCAAGGCTCAGAGAACTGAAATTCAATTTTTTTCTTTTCATTGTCTGAAAAATGGGTCTTTGGATAATAAGAGTTCAGCCACAAAAGCGAACTGTTTCAAATTGAGATTCCAGGTTTTCTTTAATTACTGTTCAGCTTCAAAAGGTTTAAGACAACAAGATAAAGATCCAAAAATCATGTTTTTTGTTTGTCTAAATCTTTTCTGTTAAAACCAAGTTCGTTAAAACCGTCAAAAGGTCGGCAATTCAGTCTTGCGATTTTTCCGGATTCGCTTCCGACGTAAGCTGAATTCAATATTCACAGCAATTCAGTTTTCAGATTTTTTTCTTGCAGAACTTCTTTGATTTTTCTACAAATAAAGATTTTTGAGCCTTTTCTGGCATTTGTGCCAATATCAGTTTGCAATCGCTTCCAATAATCCACAATCAGGAGATGCTTTTAGGAAAAATGTTCAGGCATTGAGATCTCAGAACTTTTTTGAATTTTTCAAAATCTTCGGATACGGAACATACACGTGCATATGCCCTTTTTGTATCAAAATTTGAAAAGCTGAACGCCTCCTCCAAACAATTACTGAACTTTCAATCAAAGAATTGATCTGCACAGGCTTCAGAAAATGTTCCACAAAGATCGGAATTCTTATTTTTTCAAGCGCGCAGTTTGTTAAAATTATGTTTCCTCTAGCATTTTCTCAGCTATGGCCGTACTTTGAAATTTCTGACTTTGCAAAGGTTGAAAACATTGTCAAAACATTGAAGAGCTAGTCGTGAAACATTATCAAAGCTTTCAAGGATGAAAAGGTTCTTCGAAACAGCTGCAAAAATAAATCAATGCAGCTGCTTCAGAAGATTTTGCGGCATCATGTTGGAATTCCAGCAGAAGTTTCTCAAACTTATACAGTATATGCAAGCCAAAACTTGCAGTCTTCGTTGGGTCAAATTCGGCAGCAGCTTATGCACAAGCGGCAGCGGAAAAGAACCGAATACTATCTGAATCTGAACCCCCCCGCTGCTTCATGACGGTAAAAATGATGCCGAAAGATGGGGTGGCAACCGCACAGATAGTGTACCACTTTGTTTGCAAACCTGCGGTGTCTTTATCTTGCGGCATTGCGTGGGCCTTGGTGCCGCGCGCACGAAGATTGGAAAGTACCGGCTGGCCCGCAGGGGGGCAATGCCCCGGTCAAAATTCATTCCGGGAGGGTGTCGGCCATACATCTCCTTCCTATAAGGTTTGCCCAAGACTTCCAGTGTGGAAGGGTTGACCAAAGAGAGCGCGACGTGTCGTATAGTATTAGAATACCCCTCTAGATTTCATGTACAAAATGAGGACGCCCAGCGGCCTCAAACACAGTGCATTTTATACAGGTCCCTGGTTGCATCATTTGCAGTAGGCCATAGGCCTTCATTTTATGCACACCCCATAGGTCTTCATTTTAGACATCCTAAAAAGCATTCGCCATAGTGGGCCATGGGCCATCATTTTAAACACATTGTTTTTTTTAGGTTTTGGGTGTTTAGGTTTTTCTTGGCGGGGCATAGGTCATCATTTTAAGCAAGATACCTGGGCAATCTTGGGTTCTAGTATATGGTCATAGGCCTTCATTTTATACAGGGGTTGGGTGAAACACATGTTTTCATAAAGGGCCAGGGGCTGTCATTTCATGCGAGCCTCCTAACAGCCACGGCTCAAGAATCATAGCGCTTGGATATGCTTGGATTATGTTTCTCATTGTTTTTCTTTGTTTTCCTCTAGTACATGCGACTACGTTGACATACTTCACAACATGGGCTCTTTGGAATATGAAGTCGTTGGTGCTCAACAGATTGACTTTCACGATGCAGCCTAGCAACCCTGTTGCCTCGGCCATGCCTCCTGATGGCTGGCCGGCGTTATGCGCGACTGGTCTGCAGTTTCCTCACGTACAGTACAATGTTCATTTCTTTCACGCTCTCATTTCAATTGGTTGAAGTAGTCTGCAGGCTTCTGCTCTTTGCACCCAGTGGTCAACTTTTGCGATCCGTTCTTTTTAAAACTTAGCATATCGGTTGAAATTCGGTTGATACAGCTCCTGCCCAGGTAAAATGCGGCGAGACGGTTCCCACCCCGAAGTGGGATTCCGAACGAGATGCGTGGAGCCGCTTGCCCAAATTTTGCTGCTGTCTCGTGGCAGTGACGCGCAATGCATGGAGAATCATCTTTAATTCTTGAAGCAGCGAGCCGGGAGCAGAGTTCCGGACAATTTCACTTGCCTGGGATAGATACACTTTTTCAGAAAGATTTTTTTGAGGCCAATGGATGTTAATATTGCTAACATACGTTAATATAAACACTAATAACGCTGATAAACGTCGATAACTTAATAACGCTGATGTTCTTCCTTCATCAACGTTAGTTTACGTCAATAACGCTAATGCTGGGATAATGCTGGGATAATAGAGGCTCCCATAAGTCGCAGCCGAAAATCCGAAAAAATATAGCCCTTCTATGCCCTTCTATGCCCTTCTCAAGCCTTCTCATATCCTGTCTATTCCTGCTGAGTCACGCGTTGTGACAAAGTCACTGGGATTGGCAGACGCAGCCACCACCACTATTTTTGGAATGCGCATCTTGGTGACAATCCATGTTTTGCCATTATTTGCCCCACATGGATCCTCATGCTGGGATTCTTCAGGGATGTTCGGGGTGAAGATCTTTGAAGTTCGCAATTATCTCTCATGTTCTTGAAAAATTGGATGAGAAGTTTCCTGAAAAAACATTCGCAGAATCATGCACAATCATTGCCATTTGAAAATGTCACCCAGTGAGTTTTGGATACTTGCAGAACCTTTTGATACACATGCATGGATTCTGAACTGTCGCTAGTTGGTTCCGAAAATGTTCATTGTTTTTTTCTACCCTTCCAAAATTGCCACTCCAGGCAGAACGCTACGTGGACCTTCTCTGGACGGATCAGCGATGACAGACCAAAGGGCGGCAAAGTTTCTCCATTGCATGGAGGGGTTCCGCAGGTAGTTTTTTAGGGGTAGTATGGGGTAGTTGAATATCGGCAAGATGTCGAGCACTCTTTTGGCGCCCCCAAAATTGCCCAAAGAATCCCAAAGATATGAGGCATTAGAATATTCGAACATCAACTGAAATTCTTTCAATCCTCTCAAATCTAGAAACGCGCAAAGAACATTTAGGAAAATCAGCGCTTC